GAATGCTCAGAAGGGTATAAAGACAGTAGGAGTATACCTAAGAGGGAAATCAGGAAGGCAAAAACGGGACAGGAGATAGCTTTGGGAAATAGGGTTAAGGAGAATCCAAAGAGATTCTACAAATACATTAAGGACAAAAGGGTACCTAGGGAGAGAATGGGGCCCCTTAAAGATCGGCAAGGCCGCCTATGTGTAAAACCGCAGGAGATGGGGGAGATACTAAACAAGTATTTTGCATCAGTGTTTACTGGGGAGAAGGATATGGAAGATAGAGAACATGGGGAAATAAACAGACGTCTTGAAAAATGTCCATATTACAGAGGAGGAGGTGCTGGATGGCTTAAAATGCAAAAAGGTGGATAAATCCCTGCGACCTATCAGGTGTACCCTAGAATTCTGTGGGAAGCAATTGCTGGGCCCCTTGCTTGAGATATTTGTATCATGAATAGCCACTGGTGAGGTGCCAGAAGACTGCAGGCTGGCTAACATGGTGCTGCTATTTAAGAAAGGTGGTAAGGAAAAGCTAGGGAAATATAGATCGGTGAGCCTGACATTGGTGGTGGGCAAGTTGTTGAAAGAAATTCTGAGGGACAGGATTTACATGTATTTGGAAAGGTAAGGACTGATTAGGAAAAGTCAACATGGCTTTGTGCGTGGGAAATCGTATCATATTAATTGAGTTTCTTGAAGAAGTAACAAGGAGAATTGATGAGGTTAGCGCAGTGGATGTGATCTGTATGAACTTCAGTGAGGCGTTTGACAAGGTTCCTCATGGTAGACTAGTTATCAAGGTTAGATCACATGGAATACCGGGAGAACTAGCCATTTGGATACAGAACTGGCTTGAAGGTAGAAGACAGAGTGGTGGTGGAGGGTTACTTTTCAGACTGGAGGTCTGTGACCAGTGGTGCGCCGCAAGGATCGGTGCTTGGTCCACTGTTTTTCATCATTTATATATTTGATTTGGAAGTGAATATAGGAGATATGGTTAGTTAGTTTGTAAACGACACCAAAATTGGAGGTGTATTAGACAGTGATGTCGTACAGCGAGATCTTGATCAGATTGGCCAATGGACCGAAAAATGGCAGATGGAGTTTTAATTTTGATAAATGTAAGGTGTTGCATTTTGGAAAGGTAAATCAGGGTAGGGCTTATACACTTAAGGTCTTCGAGTATTGCAGGTGCAGTTTCGTAGTTCCTTGAAAGTTGAGTCCCAGGTAGACAGGGTAGTGAAGAAAGTGTTTGCTATGTTTGCCTTTATTAGTCAGTGCATTGAGTATAGGAGTTGGTAGGTCATGTTGCGGCTGTACAGGACATTGGTTAGGCCACTTTTGGAATACTGTGTGCAGTTCTGGTCTCTCTTGCTATAGGGAGGACTTTGTGAAACTTGAAAGGGCACAGAAAAGATTTACAAGGATGTTGCCAGGGTTGGAGGGTTTGAGCTACAGAGAGAGGCTGAATAGACTGGGGCTATTTTCTCTGGAGCATCAGAGGCTGACAGGTGATCTTAGTTGTATAAAATTATGAGAGCCATCGATAGGGTAAATAGACGAGTTCTTTTCCCCAGGGTGGGAGAGTCCATAGCTAGAAGGCAGGTTTAAGGTGAGAGGGGAAAGATATAAAAGGGACCTAAGAGACGACTTTTTCATGCACAGACAAGTTGGACTGAAGGGTCTGTTTCCGTGCCATACATCTCTATAACTCTGACTCTAATTCCAGACATGGTGAAAACTCTGTTGGGCAGAAAGTCAGAAGTCATGGTTATCAGAGAAACATTAGCCAGTCTTCGTGTTAGGACAAATGAAGGGACATTCAGGAGAAACAGGAAGGCTTGAACCAAGTAATAAGACAGAGTATGATTATCTCCAGAATTTGGGACAGCCATATATATTCGCATCAGACAATATGGGACAGCAATACATTTATTGCATCAGACAGTGTACAGAGTGGCAAAACAATTCCAGATTCTCACTAAGTGCTAGAGGTCCACTAGCTAGCAGCCAAACAAAAGGAATCTCTCGCTTTCTGAGTGATGGAATTCAGTCATGCTCGAAGGAAGTTAGTATTGCAGAACTTCAACAATCTGCAAAACAAAGATTGTGAAACCAACTGTTCCAACTACCAATGACAAACATACTAGTAACCTTGTTTCAGAGATAGTAGGAACTGCAGATGCTGGAGGATCTGAGATAACAAGGTGTAGAGCTGGATGAACACAGCAGGCCAAGCAGCATCAGAGGAGCAGGAAGGCTGATGTTTCGGGCCTAGACCCTTCTTCAGAAAATC